AAGTTGCGGACAAGCAAAACTCATGCTATGGGTGACACCGCGTGTGCTAAGGCACAGCGGGGTGACAGCTGCAGGGATGATGGCCCCTGCTGTGACGCCTGCCAGCTGTCGAGGAGATCAGTGCAGGGGGTTCTGGGGCCCTGCACCCCTAGCAGCCGGCAGACAAAACTCCTGCCAAAACAGTGTCAGTCTTGGGGCAGTTGATCGTCTGTATTGGTTCTTTCCTCTCCTTAGCCTGGTTTTGTAGGTGCTAATTGATGCTCATTAAGTCGTTATGCAGCAGCTAGCTCCTGTGTATTGAGTCCCTGTTCCCCAAGTGAATCATGATTGATTGACTGGTAACTGGGAACGCAGCCGCTTAGCAGCTCCAGATCCGAAGCTCTGTCCGAAGCCTCGCATAGCCCTACTAAATACCCTCAAGTCCACATCAACATTGTAAATATTCCTGCAAGGAAGCAAATAAGTACTCAAGTCCCTTCTGGATAAAGCAACAAGAAGAAATGACATAATGCAGTTGTACATTTTAACTCCAACCCTACTCACCCTCAACTCTTACATTTATTGTGGGATTACAAATCACTTGACTTGTGCTAGATAATCCTGACAAGAGTTTTCCTTGCACTTTACTTGGAGACATACTATCACCACTTCTTCAGTGTTTGCTTCCCCCAGCACTGCCTCCCTGCCCTCCTTCCGTCCCCTGGTTTTTGTATCACTTGATTTGATACACTGCTCCGTGCACATACTTTCATAGCATCTGAAGAAGTGAGTCTATAAGGTGTTTATCTACCCTGCTTCTTCCTCAGTGCCTAAAACTCAATCGCTGTGACTGTTACAACTTCTATTACATGAGAGCCCAGACAACAACATTCCTTCTATTATCTTTGAGAACATTTCTGATATAATAAAACCTCCTCACCTATTCACTAATGCTTTTGGTTGGCTGCCCCACCACAATAATGCATACAGAGTAGCTCTAGGCAATCTTTGGCTGGTTTGTTATTAAATGCCCAGCAAAAAAATTAGACTGTACAACACAGAGGACCATGTTTCCAAGGAGAGCCTGTAATTTTTGACCTGCAGAATTCTGTATATTCAATTAATTGTGTTAATTGCTGCACTTGGACATTTAGGGCACTTTTACACATGCTCCAGAGGTGGGGGAAAGGGGTGCTTTAATTAGAGCAGCTCTAAGAGCCACTCTAATTAAAGCACTGCCGTGTCTTGTGTATTAGCATCCCCCACTTTGAAGTGGCAGCAGGGGTGCTTGTACTAAAGCTCGTTTGACAAGCTTTAGTTCAAGTGCCCCCACTGCCATTTGGAAGCATGGTGACACTAATACATGAGATGCAGAGGCTGGCTGGAGCACGGTAATCAACACTTGGTAAATGTGGGTCTTATGGATTCCCAACAGAAAATGAGGTTACATGAGAAGGATATAAATTATTAAACATGACTATGACTATAGCTTCCGAACCTGCTCATGAGGGTGACCAAACTTCCTATGCACCATTAAACATTTAAAGTGGACAAAACTCCAAAGTGAAATTCAACCCTGATAGAAGCAAGCATAATCCTGGGGAAGGCCATGGATTTATACCAAATTACCTCACGGCTGACTTTGACTCTGGGTCTGCCTTCTGTTCCCCCAGATTTTTACCCTTGTTTGTTATCTCAGCTTTCCCTGGTAATGCATCCAAATATCATCCACTCTGCATGCTTGGCATTATGAAGTGTCATTATGAAGTGTCATTATACACGTTAGGTTGCTAAGCATCACTTAGCAACATGTGCCACATACTGCTATGTTTCTCTAGCACTC